TATTATAATGATACTAACAATAATAATCATAATGTGAAAAATAATTTCCTCCAAAAATTAAGGGATGTTAATACATGAGGTCATGTAGGCCGGATAATTGATTCCTTGTTGAGTAAGACTCCTGGAACCAACTGCTTGGAATCAAATTTGATAAAATAAAATCTCACACTCTCAATATTAATTGTACACATAAATGATAATGCAAAGAGCTTCACCAGCCACTTCAAGAAAAAGAAGAAAAAAATATACGTCAACTGAATCATGAATTTACCTCCTTTATTGAAGATGTCGGCAGCTGAGATTAATCGAGCGTTGTGAGCCAATATTGCCAAGAAGTGCAACTGAAGACGAGATCCTGAAAAGGCATTCTCGGTCACATCTCTACCTCTTGTGGAGTACGAAGGATGAGAAAAACGAGGAAAAACTGGAAACCATCTCTTCGCACTTTGACTCAATATATATTCATCCAGTAAGAATTTTAGTTCTGATTATGAATAGCAAAGTTAGGTGAAATAGTTTGATTGATTTTTCTTTGTCATAATTATTATTACTTATCATTATTCTTTGTTGTTTGTTTTTACTATTGCTAAACATATAACCCCTTTTTTTTTTTTTTTTTTTTTTTTACTGTTTTCAGGAAACCCATGATCTTGCACTCTTGGCAGCAGGGAGCACCATAGATCTAGTGGATGCAGTAATGGCTGGAAAGATTCAGAATGGAATGGCTCTTATTAGGTGAGGATCTTTACACAGGATGTTTCTTATGTGTATATGTCTGTTTCTATATATACAGTGGAGAAGAATGCAGACTGTTAAATGAATGATAAATGTCATACATATGTACAGTATTTTTCAAAGTATTCTTTTTAACTCGAGAACATGTTGACAGACCTCCAGGACATCACGCAATGACGACGGAGTTTTGTGGTTATTGTTTCTTCAATAATGTAGCTCTGGCGGCTCAGGTGGCCTTGGAGAAACACAAGCTGTCACGTATTCTGATTGTGGATTGGGACGTTCACCATGGCCAGGGTACTCAGCAGATGTTTTATGAGGATCCAAGGTAAGGGACATGTGCAAGTTTAATTTTTAATGTTTATATAGAAGGGTATGCCATGTAAGATGGCATATTTTTCTTAGAAAGGTTATTTTGTAAATGCCTCAAGGATTTGTTATGCTGCCTGATCTTATTCAAGTCTTTCAGTAATAGCAGTTATAGTACTCTATGTAATATGCTAAGGCTCTTTAATATGGTGAAAAGGATTCCACTTGTCCAAGAAAAAATAACAGGACCCTCTTATTAGCTGACTGAATGACTGATACAGACTTTGAAGCCAAAGCTGTCAAGTGGATCATGGTTTCATAGAAATGTGGAATGAGGGCCATTGTCAACCTCACATAATTGCCAGTGAAAGGGGAGAAGACACAGGCTATCATAACAGTTTTGATTATATGATTTTGTTAGGCTATTAGAAATAATGTTATGCAATACATAAAATGATACTTTGAGGTCTCTCCCAATCCAGGGTCTTGTACTTCTCCATCCACCGCTATGAAAATGGAACCTTCTGGCCTGAGCTTCGGGAAAGTGACTACGACAATGTTGGAGCTGGTCAGGGTCGAGGTTTCAACTTCAACGTACCTCTAAACAAGACTCAGATGAAGAATGAGGATTATTTAGCAGTATTTCATCAGGTCCTCCTTCCTGTGGCATATGAGGTGAGTTTTGAGTGTGCTTTCCCCTAAGAAGACTTAGATTTTTATTTTTATTTTTTAAGCAATTAAGGGAATATCAGCAAATACAATGACTTTCATTTCTTGCTTACTCGGCATCTCATGATGAGCCATTTTTATGTTGTTAGTGAGACCTGACCTGATCCAGCGAACTGCAGAATTTTAGGTAACCTGCGTGTGTACCATGGATGTGTTACCAGAAAACATGGCACATTTTATATAAATGGCACATTTATACTATTTAAAACGATAAAGCTTTTTGAAAATGTTGAATGTATAATGTATATAAGTGGTACATGCTAATGAAAGTTGATGGTGACATGACAGAAAGAAATTAAACAAAAACTATGTATCCCCAATGGCAGCCATAAACATGGACCACTTGCAGCCATTTTCAAAACATGCCCAGCTGTAGCTTTTGTGTGGTCACATTTAGTCTGTTTCGAAAGGAAAGAGAACAGCAGATTGATGAAATAGTTTTAGGAAGATCAGTTCTTAACTTATTATTTTATCTTTTGCTTGCTGCAGAGGTAATGTAACTTCAACTTGATAAACTATAAAGAGAGGCAGTAAATAAGAGCAAAATATCAAACAGTTTAATGTATTTGTGGACAAATCCATTATATCAGAATTTATCTCAAGTTTAGATGTGGGTGTAAAATTGAAAGGCCAGTTATCTATCTTGCTTTAAGGCTTATGCTTTCTTATTTTGCTGTACCTCTGTCCACCAGATCACTTAATTTCAGACAGCATGAAGAGTGAGAAGCCAGGTTGACGGTAAGAGGGATGAGTATTCTATGAAAAGAAGATTTTTTCACTTTTTTATGATATTAAGAATGTGTCTATGTTTAGATTACAAGAATGAATTGTAGAGAATTGATTAAATATATGAAAGTAAAGTACTTGGTGTACTTGTATAATGATTACGATGTCTTAGATAAATTTTCTATTTTAGTGGAACATCCATTTTGTCTTGGAGATATATTAATTTATTTGCATTTTATTCTTATCCAGGGAATACATATTGTGAAAAATCATTACCATTTTTTTCATGCCACCATTCTTTATCATACTGAATGGGTATTTCAGGTGATGGCAAATGTGGATTAATGAATATTGAACCAATTGTTTTTCAGGTTCAATCCACATATTTGGTCATAAATCTTTGACCACAGATTTATGTTAGAATCATCAGCCACCCCTTGTTCTCATTGCCTCATACATTGACCATGGCATTTTGTTCATGAGTATTCCTAAGCAAGTGGGCACCAGATGGCACTCACCTCGCACTATTCCAGAGTATTATCAGGCGATCTCATCAGATCGTGATCCTCCTCTCTCTCTCTTCTTACTCGAATCCTCTGCGCGTTTGGTCTCTCCTCTCTCTCTCATATCCGTCCCTCTCTCCCTCTTCTCCCTCTCCCTCTCCCTCTCTCCTCTCCCTCTCCTCTCCCTCTCCCTCTCCTCTCCCTCTCTCTCCCTCTCCTCTCTCTCTCTCTCTCTCGTCTCGTCTCTCTCTCTCTCTCTCTCTCTCTCTTCTCTCTGTCTCCTCTCGTCCTTCTCTCTCTCTCTCTCTCTCTCTCTCTCTCTCTCTCTCTTCCCCCTCCTCTCCCTCCCTCCCTCTCTCCCCCCTCCTCTCCCCCCCTCCGCCCTGAATCTCCTCCTCATCGTCTCCCTCCTCCTTTCTCCCTCTCCCTCTCCCTCTCCCTCTCTCTCTCTCTCTCTCTCTCTCTCTCTCTCTCTCTCTCTCTCTCTCTCTCTCTCTCTCTCTCTTCTCTCTCTCTCTCTCTCTCTCTCCTCTTCTCTCTTCTCTCTCTCTCTCTCTCTCTCAGAATTCTTGTCATCAGCTTGCTTCTTGATACTTTCTTTACTATTGTTGTTATTATCATTATTACTTTTTTCATTATTGATATTTATATGATGGTTCGAGTATGACATTCTCATTATCTACCCTGATCTGTCTCAGAATCTCAAAACTTCATGGTATCCAAATGTAGATCCACTCAATATATTTAGTTATTAAATCAAAGATACCCTGCCAATTTAGCTAATCTAATAAACCCAGTACAAAAGTATCTAAAGTGAACTGTATTGAACTTTGCTTTACGTAATCTGACCCGAGATTAATATGGCATTAGGTAGAACCAAGCTGTATTGTCTGCTCTGACTTGCCACTATAAATGTATATACTTTATTCCTTAAGCTTATGGTCCCACTTACTAAGTCAGCCATAGAATTGTGGTGTTCCTCATGCATATAGTTATGGTACTGGCAAGGCCTGATCCCCCAGGGAGCATTATTAGAAGTCTGTACATTATTTTTATTATGTTTTCTCTTTTATTTTGTCTTCCTTCCCTGTAGTTTGATCCTGAGTTGGTTCTTGTTTCCTCTGGTTATGATGCTGCAGTAGGTGATGAGAAGGGAGGTCTTCCCTATAGCCCTGTAGTTATTATAACCAGGCTTTTTTTTTTTTTTTTTTTTTTTTTTTTTTTTTTTTTTTTCATTTCCTTTCTTTTCTTTCTTTTTTATGCTGACTGAAGTTTTTGTTTGCTAGGTTGATTTTTATAAAATGAATGTGGTAAATACTAGCCAGAATAAAAGCTAAAGGTATATGTTTACGCAGTTTCTGCTTATTTTGAGCATTTTTCTTTTTTTGATTCTTTGATTTTTGAGTCTTTATTTGCGAAAAGTATTTATTTTGCATTCCTTTTTTCCTGATGTAAAATTGCCGTTCAGTTACATTTTTCAAATATAAAAGAAGGAAAAGAAACATTTAATACATATAGTTGATATATGCTCTATTAGTTGTTAAGGTACAATAGAATTTTAGGGTTACTTTAGTCTGTAGTTTATAAATGAAATATAGCTGTAAATACTTGCTCATAAATGCTTTCAGTAAGTTTTACTCTGAACTCTTTTTTGATACTACAGGGAGAAATGGAGATTACCCCTGCCTTTTACGCTCACCTCACCTCTAGTCTCATGGCTCTGGCAAATGGACGTGTAGCTGTTGTCTTTGAGGTGAGAAGAGATATTTATGTTTGTTATTAGTACCTCTAAAATTTAATTGGATATGCCTTTTTTTCCTGTTTCATTTTTGTCTCATTTTTTATATTGTTTCTTGTAAATCTTAGGTTTTATTATTTAAAATAAAAGATCATAAGATATGAAGTGAAGTATATTAGTACCAAATGATCGGTTATAGAGTTAATTTGATATATTTTGATACTGCACAGGGTGGCTACTGTCTTGATTCGCTAGCAGAAGGAGCTGCTCTGACGCTTAGTGCCCTTCTGGGAGACCCTTGCCCAAAGCTTCTGGATCCCATTTCCAAACCCTCTCTAAGGTAGTTTCTGAATTTCTGAAGACTGAATTTTTTAAAAGTCATTTGAGTAGAGAAATATGTGGTGATTCATTTAATTTGGAGACAGAAAATCTTGCAGTGCATGAGAGTGCTTATCAAAAGATATAACAGCAGTGGAAAAAAAATTCTTTCTCCATCAAATACTAATGAGAGCCATTATGCCAACAGCATGTGTGAGTCTCTGCTCAATCTTATCTACGTCCAGAGGCCATACTGGAAGTGTTTCCAGTACCAAGGGTCCTTCTCTGTCCACGAGAAGACGAATGGGGACACGGGAGAGCGCCACATCCCCACCCTCTCCTACCTCGGCAATGCGACAAAACCCCTTAAGTACGATACCAGGAACTGCTATCCTGTCCAGTCACAGGAGGCCAAGGAAAAGATCGGGTTCCAGTTAGCCAGGCTGAAGCAAGGTCTGCGGTTTTGTTGTTTAGATTTGTGCGATACTTTCTGATATTGTTATTTAGGTTGTGATGATGAGTCGATGCAGTGAAGAGTTGCTAGATTTAATTTTTTTCTTCTTGGGTATTTTCCAAAAAGGAAAATAGGAAGATCACTTTAGTTTATTGATAGTTTTGAAATATAGCTTATATTAGGTATATAGATCAATTATAAAATATCTTCCTTCCTTGTATCAGATAAACCTCCTCAGATGTTTGGGAATAATAGACTCTGCTTGGTGTATGATGAGGCCATGAGTAATCACCATAGTTTGTTGGAAAAGTAAGTAGTCAAGTTCAAGCTTGTAAGAACATTTGTTTTTTCCAATTATTTTATTTTATAAATATACATATATACATATGGTCACATTTTCAGTTTTTCAAAGCATTTTTTTTTTTCTTTCTTTCTTATTTTCCAGTAGAATTCCTGTCATTGTTTATGGAGATGATTGTATTTACAGTATTTACTACAGTAAATGCTATAGATTTTACAAGCCTGTTAAAAGTTGTCAAAATTGGTATGCAAATGTGTTTTTCCCTTTGCTAGTGATTAAATAAAACATGCTTTAATGCTTAAAGGTTTAACTTATGCTCTACTTGACATTTTGCAGAGAGCATCCAGAAAGACCGGAAAGAACAGAGAGAATATGGAAAACTCTGAAGCAGTTTGGCATCATAGAAAGAGCAACTCTCTTGCAGGTATGTGGAGTCAAATAATCATTTTCTATAGCATGATGAATATATACTTGTTCCATAGAGAAGGAGTATTATAATTAATATCACTAGAGTTCAGGTATGCTATTGTAATGAGAGTACTGAAGAAATGAATCATCATAGCTTTATTATTGGGAATGTATTTTTCATAGCATTCAAAAGGATTTTTAAAAAATAGCTAGAAAGTCAGAAAGTAAATATATAATTACTTAGTGTGAAAGTATCTTGATCAGCATAAAGCATTTTATTTTTTGAATGCATAAGTCATTATGATTATCTAATGAATAACCATGTATGAAAATTAAGCTTGATAATTACCATTGCAGTCACGATATGCCACACAGCAAGAGCTAGAGCTCATTCACACACATGAGCATGTAAACCTAATGGCAAGCACAAGTGCACAGAGTGAAAAGGAGCTCTTGAGTATGCAGGATAAGTACAAGTCGATATACCTTCACCCCAAGAGCAATGAAGCTGCTCTTCTTGCCGCTGGGAGCCTCTTGCAGGTAAGTGGTATGATAGTGTCTGAGATTGAAAGGTACAATATTTAATTTATAAAAGCAAGTTGTATTTAAGTTCATTGATTAAAAGTACCATGAATAATGTATGTCATTTGAGATGTAATGATGTGTTTCACATATAGCATAACTCAAGAATTCTGTAATAAATGGGAAACATGAGAATGCTAAGAGGTGATGAACTGTAATCCTTACTTTGTTAATGCCGTATGATTTCAGGTTATAGATGACGTATGCAGTAACAAAAGCTTAAGTGGAATAGGAGTAATTCGTCCTCCGGGCCACCATGCTGAGCAGGATCATCCGCATGGCTTCTGTTTGTACAACAATGTGGCCGTTGCTGCTAAGTATGCCATTACCCACCATGGTTGTGAAAGGTAGGTTTTATATGTATGTTTATGAGTTATAAGTAATCTGTTTGTGAGTGCTTTGCTTGACTTGACTCAGAAATATTAGGTAATTCAGTTGATTGAGTAATTTCTAATTTATATCATCAGAGTGCTGATCCTTGACTGGGATGTTCACCACGGTAATGGCGTGCAGCATGCATTCGAGGCTGATCCAAAGGTCCTCTACATTTCCATCCACCGTTATGACCACGGCCTCTTCTTCCCTTCTTCTGAAGATGCGAATTATGACCAGGTTGGCTCTGGAGAGGGGGAAGGCTACACAGTCAATATTCCATGGAATAAGGTGTGTTTTTGTATTTCTTGCAAACTTTCACTAC